AGCCAATGTTTAAGGGACACAAGTGCTTTTTAAATTTTGAAATCTTATCACCTCTGCACAGAGGGCAGAGGAAAAGTGCTTCTCTATGAAATGAGGATTTTCTATTAAATAGCTGCTTGAAATAAAATAGATACTAAAACTAATAACAAGTTGACTATTTGGTATTACTTCAAGGCAGCTAACACAATGGATTTCTGCTTTACATAGTTAACAAGATATGGTTTGACTGAGTATTCTTTCCCTGTGATTTGTTATAGGTAACTATTTTATTGAGCGCTTTTAAAGGCAATGCAAACTAATGAAATTCCTCAGAACACACTAAGGGGAGATTTTAGCTCCTAAAAGTGTATTAAAAACAACAACAGTACTGGGGCAGTCTAGGTTTTAATTGCTAAGTGAGAAGCTGTAAAAACAAGGGACTAACAATTAGTAGAAAGAAGGACTATGTCCAGTGAATTAGGAAAGGCTGTACAGTCAGAACTGTAGGACTGGGCCTGTTCCTTTTTTTTTTTTTTTTAAAGATTTATTGATTTATGCATACAGAACTGGGGTATAGGCCAGAGGCTCAGGGACAGTGAGAGGCTTCACTAGAGACAGAGCGGGGAGCAGAACAGGCAAATTGATGAAGTACACTGCTGAGGGGAGCAGCGGGTAGGTCAGGAGAGGTTTGCTGTGCCATGTGGATCACCTCCGGGGCAGGTGGGGATCGAACTTATGCTCAAGTGGCTTTAGCTTGTTAGTGCTATCCTTTAATTTTAACCCGCTGCGCCACCACGGAGGGCCTGGGCCTGTTCCTATTTTACTGGTTGAATCTGATTTTCAACATTTCTTAATATATACAGCAGCACACTGCATGGCATATGGCTGGTAGTTGGCAATGCTGAAAAAATACATCAGATCAGAGCAGTCTTTACATACTTATAAAAAGATGGGAAAGTAATATTGAACAACTCAAATATAGCAATTGTGCTGGATTGGAAGAAAACAGAGATAATTTTGTTTCAAAATTAATTTTTATTTTAATATGGTCTTCATATGAGAATTGTATATCTTAGACATTCTCTCTATTAGTCCTGAGTGTGTTGGTCTTATTTCCCAATTACGTTGCCAATGCTTGAGGGACTATAATATAGCATACAATTTTTCAAACAGTATTGCCTAATTAAATGAATAATACATGTACAATGAAATATTATTTGTTTATTAATATTCTTCATTCTCTTTAGAATTTATTGCTTATTTATCCCTTAGAGAAGAGTCTTTAGGGTCAAGTGAAGAGGCTTTAGGGTCAGAATAGGAAAAGCCTCAGAGGACTAAGGAAGGCTCCAGAAATAAGGGCAATAAATTCCAAAGGGGACTAATCAAACAACTAGAACTAGGGGCAACAGGATATTCCTGGACAAGGATGATAAGATAAAGGGTCAGACACAGAGACTTAGTGCTGGACACAGAGACATTCAGGCAGTGACTGAGACCACCAAAAACTTTCCGATCACAGAGACTGGTGGCACTTTAACATAACTAGGGAAAGAGGGGTATTTCCTTAAGGCAGCACTCCACTTTGGCTCCCTTGCCCTCCCTAGCCTGGGAGTCTCACTTAATTTCTATTCCTTTTCTCCTTAAAAAACTTTTTCTTTCTCTAGGCAAATCTGCCTCTTTTTGCTTGCTTGCAAAGCATCAGCCAAGTTCCTGCTGTGGCTTTGTGAGACACCAACCCATGGTGATCTAATGGCTGGGGCTCAGTGTTGCAGCTACAGCCTGGGATCTATTCCTGGCTGGAGATTAGGCCTCTAGGCCTCAACACCTGAAATTATGGTATGAGAGAAGGACACTGATGTTTTTCCTTTAATGCTCTGGGTGTGTTTCAAAGGCTTTTGTTTCAATGTTTATTCCATCTTTATACCTGGATAGATAACTAAATTTATTACCTGTACTTTATAGCAAAAGAATTTGAGAAAAGTGGTTGGTAAGTGGTTTAGATCCAATCTTTCTTAGCTGTAGCCTTAGAAAGAGTGTTTATATTCATTAACTTTCAAAGGGATCATTAAAGAAAATGAAGGGTGAAAACAAAAAAGAAATGGAACACAAATTCCTATTAGGAATTTCTCTCTTTTTAGTACTGGCCTTCTACTGGGAAAAAGAACAATGCTTGAGAGCAGTCTCACTGACCCTACAGTTAGGGTCATAGCTTGGCTGTGCTGAGCGCAATTGAGAACAGGCCTGTTCCCTATTCCTTAAGACTTGTTGGTTTTTGGTTCTTCATAATCTGAAATAGTCAGATCCCTATAACTGAATAATACTTAACACCAAAGAAATTATTAAGTAAACGCCAAGAGTACTTGAAGAAGTTAATCAGGAGAGGGTTCAACAAATCCAAATGTGAAAACTGAGGTACCATTCCAATAGGCCTGCCAAATATTATCTTCAAGGACTCTCTTCAAACTTGAATTTCTAAGGTTAGATAACATACTGAACCTAAACAACTCACATATTTTAAGTATTGTAAATAATGTAAAGAAAACTAAAAGTGTGAGGCCAGAGAACATGATACATGAGAAATAAAATTGTGAAACTGTATACCTGAAACTTATGCAGTGCTGTAAGCCACTGTTACTGCGATAAAGCACATGTGTGTGTATGTGAACACCTACACATAGACACACACACACAGAAAAAAAAAGAAATCTAAATAGAGACTAAAATGGGTTAAAAAATCAGGGCAGTTTCCTGAAGAAACAATTTTCTTTGACTTGTTTCTCTAGAATTTTACTTATTTCCTCCTCACTAGATGAAGTAGACTGAAGCCAGTCCTGCTGCCAGCAATGGCGGAGACTTTGTGCTAAGATGTAAATGGAATTTGCATGGGACAAAGCCACCTATAATTACAGTCGCCTACAGAACAATTCCCACAAAGAAATCCTCTAGTTTTGGGGGGAGAAGAATTCCCAACACAATTTGCAATTAAAATATGTAAAGGAATTTGCCTTAAAAATGTGCTGATTATACAGAACTTCAGTGGCAGCATGGGAGATGAGAAAAACAAGCAAAAAACAGTAAGATAAGGGAAAAAAGTCAAGAAGAATAAACCTCCTGCATAGAAAGTCAGTTTAGAAAAAAACAAGAATTTGAGAAAAGTACAATGATTTATGCTTCAACTGATTCGATGGTGGCAGCTTCCCCCATTATCCAAGCACAGACATTCCTTCACCCTAGACAACTGTGCCCCTTGCTCCTTTGTTCCAACACAGCCCCCTCCCCTCACCACCAGCCTCAATTCTGGTTGCTTGGAGACTCTATGCATTTCTACCTCTATCCATCTAGCTTTCTAGTCACTCAAAGACATGTGTACCAAGCATTATAGTTTCTTACAAGAGAAATACTACCAACAAACACTGGTTCTAGCCAATCACATAAAAGCCTTTTTAATTTATAGTATTTATAAGCAATCAGTCTGAGCAGGCCCTGGGAACTGAGAACTACCTGACACAGGGTAGTGGGTAGTAATAAGTATTCCATCTCAAAACTGCATATTTTTAAATCTCTCTCCTATAAGCTGAATTAAAAATTAATACTCTGAAAGCAGTTGATCTCAACTAGATGTTAACATAAAAGCAGTATGTGGAAACTAATTCCAAATAAGGCATGACTGATAGTATCCTAACATACATGTTAAATGTATATGAGATGAAAGAAGGTATGTATCTCAATATTTTTCTTTTTTACTTTTCTGTAAATAAAAATGTTTCACCAATTCAAATGAATTGGTGAAAATTCGGAGACTATTAACAACATAAAACTGAAAAATTTAAGACTGCAAAAAGGTTTATTTCTTAAGAAAGAATGACCAGTGAGGAGTTCTTCCCAGGAAATCTGCTAGTGAAAAAAGCTAGGTTACTCACGCTTTTCATCCCTTCCACTGTAAATGTTCTAATTTTTTTTTAAAACTATTAAAGTAAGGGTCTCTAACCATAACAAAGTTGAACAAAAACAACCGCATCAGTAAATACCCACCTTAAAAAGTACAAATATATTGAAAAGCAACATTGGGATTTTACTGCAGTCTTTTCAGAAGGATTTGTCACAGAACCCTTCTAATCACAAAGTCCTGTAGTGCTTACAAATAGATTAGGTTTCAAAGAAATTCAGTGAAGACAAAGCTCCTTAAAAAAGTCTTTTTTTAGATGAAAGTAAGATGTATCTATACATATATACATACATATATAAATTAATAACACACTCCTAAAATTATGTTCGTTTTCAAATAGCAAAGTAATGCATTGGCATCTCAAGATGTAATATGTAAAAAAGAAATGATTAAATTATACAAAAACCTTGTCAAGAAAAAAAGGTTTGGAAATCTACTGAGACTAACTTTTGTTCATATAAATTGTAATGTAAGAGATTTTTTAAATGTTTAGAGTATTTTAACGACCTGTGTTTCTGCCTTTTTACTGCTTGCCTTTATCTTGCTGCTACAGATGTTCAGTTGTTTATTTTTCTAACCATTTCCAGGAAAAGACCCATGGGAGTTAGTATTTCCAGAGGGATCTGGGGGATGGAGTAGAGAGCATTTTTGTTAAACTCTTGGCTTAGAATGCAAAAGTTTATTCCAGAAGTGTAAGAAAAAAATAAATTGATGATTAATGTCCAGATTCCAAAGTATATACTAGCTTATGTGGCCTTTGGAATTCAGTTTGTTTATAATTAATCATTCAAGACCATGCATGTTCTTAGTAGAAACTGAGGCTGTAGCTGCTGCTGTCAGCACAGGAAAGGCCCTACTTGGTTGTTAGAGTGTCCTCAGGGAAATGAGTCCACTATGCTTGCTTTGCAGCCTCACCTATCAGAAGCCTCTCCCATACATTTCATTAGCTCTTCCCTTTTCAAGGCTGAAGATCGTATTTTTAAGTAGAAACCTTGGTAGCAAGTGGACTTCTTAATGATTTATATGTAAAAAACAGAGGAAATGGTTGGGTCATGTAGAAGCGTTTGGCACTCACCCCTACCTGCTGGGTCTGCTGTCTCTGGATGGCTCTCACTTTGGGAACAGGGCTCTCTCTGGAAGATGAAGACTGCTGCCGGGACCGGCTCCCATTCTGCACAGGTTCAGCCATCAGGGCTGCTGATGCCACAGACATGCTCCCGGTGCTACGTAAGGAAGCACTGTGTGGCAAGGATGGTGGGGCTTTGGCTCGGGCACCTAACCCAGCCTGGTCCACTTTTCGGATTTGTGCCTGTCCGGTACTATTTTGCCGTGGCAGGGCAAGAGGTATGTGTCTGTCTGGCACAGTGTGCCGTCTGGAGAAGTCCTCACTTTGAGTGCTACGTTTGGTGAAATCTTCCATGCTGCTATTGCTGGGTCCACTGAGCTTGAAGTCCTCACTATTACTTTGGCTTCGGGAACTGGCAGTGCTTAAGTTCTCCAAACTCGAATCTACAGAGGCCTTTGGCATTGTTGGAATTGGGTTATTGAGGTGATAGACAGGGTTCTGGAATGACAAGGGCTGGAGGCTGCCTGGCTGGCTCAAGGCTGGGTGCAAGGGCCTTCTCACTTGGGGTGCACTCTGGGGAGTGCTCTGTGCTTCCCGCAATTGTTTGATGCTGGCCACCTGGGTTATGGAAAGCTGGCTTCCGGTCAAGCGCATAGGCACATCAAGCATGACGGATGCATGCTCCACTTGAGCAGCATGAGTGTCTTGAAGGTCCATGAGGGAGATGCTCCGACCATTTGGAAGACTGCTTTCTTTTTCATCCTTTTCAGAGTAAGTCATGCTTTGGGAGGAGGCTTGCTGCACCAGTAACAATGTTTTCCCTCTAAAATAGCTATCCGTGTTGTCTTGGCTTGGAGATTTCAGTTTATGCAAATCACTGTGGAAAAGAAATGACCCTTAATTACTCTTGAAGCAAATTCAGCAATTATGATTTCTTAGCTTATGAAATCTTCTGAGGGCTCACAGGCTCAACATGGACAGTTACACCTGTTTCTACACTCAAATTTCATCGCTATAGTTTTTAGGATCCAATATTTTTAGTTTACCCCTGAAAATTGTATATGATCCCATTGCTGTCTGTGCTTTTTTCTAGAACTCCATTAATTTCCAAATTAGGTTTTAAACCCTCCCAAACATTCAAATTCACATTTAATCAGTTCTAAGATTTTAAGAGCAGGAGCTCTGAGGGGACAGAGAGTCCCTGCTAAGGTACACTTCCTGTTGACACAGAAAACAATGTCTAAGCATCTATATCGAGTATATTTGTTCAGTGGACAGAACCAGCTCTAAAATGGTTTTAACTGAAGAGATCCGATCTTTGAGTGCTACAATATAAGAAAATACCAATTTTATAAAGACCTTCATCTTTGATAAAGCAGGAGGTAGTTTTATTTTGACACACTTATTGTATATATTATCTCTATACTGTCATTCTGGAAGCATCACAGATCTCAAGTATTATGACAAACAGCTGGATTTACTTCAGGTCAGGTGGTTATGATTTTGAAGTTGTAAATTCAAAAGATAAGTAAATAGATTTCTGCCAAATCTTTAAACATTATTTCTCTGAAATAGTAGAGACAGTATCTCTACTGAGATAGTGATTCAAAATCTTTCATACCTGTCAGTGGGGTCTTCGAATATTTTCTGCAGCCCAGAGGAGAGGCTTCCACTGACATTTGGACTGGAGTTATGCTCAGTGAAGCGTCTGAGTTGTTGCTGTATGGGTGTAGGGTTAGTCAGAGACTTGGTGATATCAGCAAGAACACGAGGGAGAGGTCCCAATTTTGCCACGGTCGCCTGTAGGAAGGAATTTTCACCCTAATTGGATAATAAGCATTTCGATATCCACCACAGATTGTTTTTGGACCATGATGCCCATTGATGGAGGGGTGTAGGTTGAAAGGAAGGGTAGGTGATTGCATGTGGGAGTGGCAGGTTCATAATGAATTGTTATGGAGCAGCAGAACCATGGCGTCGAGATGAATGGAGGAGGCGAAACAAGGTGCAGCAGACATTGAGGAAAGAAAGGAAATAGAAATTAGGATTATGCAAATAAAAATTAAAAGTCATGCTCAAAACAACCAAACTATTGCCATTCCAACTAAAATAGACATGCAAAGCAAACTAAATCTTTGGGGTGCTAGTAGATTGAGATGGCGGAGGGATGGGGAAGAACCATACACCTTCTTAACCAAAAGGGATTTCAAGACCAGAGGATGGGCTAGTGTGATGAACTTCCAAAGAAAATGGATCATGTGAGGAAAGAAATACATGCCAACATACAAGAAGGTGCTGCATTCAGGAGTCCAGAGCACTGCAGGGCACACAGTTGATATAGTCACCCATTACCCCATTTAATCTTGGGAACCCTAACCTTTTGTCAACTGAGTTTGCATCAACAAGTTGATTTTTTTTTTTAACAAAAAAATCAGGTAAACTCTTTATGTGACATGTTCAGATGTAGTCTTGGTTCCCAGAACCAAACAGATTAAAAAGGAGAAAGTGTGTTTAAACAGGAAAGCCTGTTACAAAAGACCTTGTACCTGTATAAATGATGTCTATTTCACAAGCTAAGGGTTTCTGCATTCTACTCATGCAGTTATTCAACCGAGAATAACTTTTTAGTACTTATTTTATCTACCATAATATTTTTTTTCTTTCATAAATTCTTATTCTCAGCAGGTCTTATGGGACCCCTCAAGAGTTAGGCAGTTTTGAATGGCTGCCTCTGGTCGGCTTTGTCTTTTCAACCAACAAACTGCCCAACCCTGCTTGCATGTGCACAATGCCATCTGAAGAATGCCTTTACTGTTCAACTCTCTTGAGCCATGATTCATATGCAGGAAATTGACCCCCAGCGTAGCTGTCACTTCAAGTCTAGTTAGAATTTCTAAAAGGAAAGAAGGGTCCTTGGTAATAGGGATGGTTTATTATTTCAAAGATTTTTAAGCACAAGTGGACACACTACCACTTACATTCCCTCAGGAAAATGGTCTTTGTAAAATAGGTTTTAATCCCTAACCCTGATTTTATCAGTACTTTTGAAGGATTAACAAGAAAATGGAGGAAACAAAATCAATAAATTCTCATTAGAGAAAAATAACTTTTGTCTTTTGAAGTAATTCCTATACACCACCACACATTTTACAAAGTACCTGTAGCAAACAAAAACATTAATAAATAATCACTGTGATAAAACTGGCCAAAATCTGTCAGGATATTTCCATTATAAACTCTATTCCTCTTTGCGTTCTAGAAGGAAGAAAATAATTGCCATGGCATACATTTAGTTATCAATATGGCTTATAATAAAGCTCAATGTATAGTCAGAAAAATTTGTTAAAAATGGTAATTGTTTTCTGTACTCTTTAATTTGTATCTGTAGGGAAAAGAACATTAGGACTTTCAGATCTCAGTTATAATAAGTGTTATGATTTGCATAATAAAAGACATAATCTCATGGATAAAGCTAATTAAATGTGTCTCAGTATTTGTCTAATTCTACACTATTGCTAGAAATTACCATATGAGTTTTTATCTGACCCTATAAAACACAAATAAAATGTATATATCAATAGTTGGTACCAGTTTCTGAGCAAATTTTTAGATATGTTATATATAATGATTGATTATAGAGATATAAACTCCATTCAGGTAATTACTTAAAAACGTGTTAATAATTTCGTGGCTTTCTAGGATTTCATGAATTTTAGGACACATATTTTATTCAGAAATCATAACCATTTATTCCCAGATTTGTAGGAAAAAAGGTTGCGTTCAACTAGCAGAAAATGTAGCTGCTGTCACTTTGTAGATGCTCTCCAAAACTCAGGTATCTTAGGTTCACTACCTCCCATCTCCTATTACTTTACCTTATCAAGTTGGGAAACTACTTCCCACAGTAAGGAATGCAAAACTGAAAGCTCTCGGCCCAGATCAATGTAACCATCAAAGCCTGGGGTGTTTGAGATGGTGTCTGGATTAGATATCTCCAAAAGGAAGCGCTTCATTCCACCCCATTCATGTTCTAAAAAATCATTCATGAATGCCATGTATTCTTCTTTGTTACCAAATCTGAAGTACGGGAGAGAAAACGAGAAAGAATATATTCAGGGGAAGGGAGGCAATCGTTTTGAATTGATTTTATACAGGTGTAAAATTGTCTTATTTAGGGGGGTAAGTGACCAATTCATTTATTATCTGAAAATGATAAATGCTAGCACATACTTTTTTTTAATACTCAAAAACTTTGAAACTTTTTCTATTCTGTCAGATAAAGTCAAAATACTTTTTCCCTGGAATTTAAAGATCTCTGTAATATAGCCTTCCTTTATCTACACCAAATACTATTATACACCTTCAATATTACTACTTCTTTGAAGTCTTTCAACTACATTAAACTTCTTTTCCAAGGGTTGCTTGGGCTACTTATTTTCATTAGAGAGGAACTTCCCTTTCTTTGGCTATCTAAACTCTAGCTATCTTCAGGACATCTAGTTTAAGCCTATTAAACTTGTTCCAAATAAGCTAGAAATAATTTTAACCCTAATTAGTTCAAATGTGGGTACATAGTTGCATTAGCTTATAAAGGCAAACAAAGTTAAAATAATGCACATGTAAAAACATCACTATACTCGAAAATAATCTGTCTCTTTGAGGTTCTAATTTTTCTGTAGATACAATGCTAACAGAAACTTATAAGCTTCAATACTGTGTCCATCTGTGATCAGGTATGACAATGTGAATTCCTTCTTACTGAGTTTATAAAATTATTTTCCATAAATTATAAAAATTATAGGGATTTTAAAAATAGAGAACCCTGAAAAATGGTAAGGAAAAAAGAATGAGTGTGCGCACTCTGCCACCCAAACTTATCTGCTGTTCTCATTTGAGTACAATTTCACCCCAAACATTTTCCCCTAACTTCTTCAAAAAAGTATTTAAAATCTAAAAGTTGAAAAAATGTACAACGAAGCCCATTTGCCATTCATCTGTGTTAGCCAACTGTTACAGCTGCTTTCACTCTCTACCTGTATATGCACACTTTTTGTAGACCCATTTTAAACTAAGTTGCAAACATAACCTCTAAATGCATTAGCATCCATTTCTCTAAAACCAGGAATATATCTTAGATAAACCAATGCCATCAGCACACTAAAATTTTAAGAAACGTTATTTCTAAATTATCTTACAGTTCATTTTAAATGTTACCAGGCACCCCAAAGTGACTTTATCAGTGTTGTACCTCAAGTCATATCCAACTAGTATTCAAGCATTGTATTTGGTCTCTTTTAATCTAGACACTGCCCTCCATCTTTTCCATTTTTCATGAGACTGACTATTTTGGAGGGGACCAGGTCAACTGTCTTAGATAATGTGACCATAGAATAACTACTCCAAACTTCTTTATAGTTAGGTTTTTGTGTTTTCATTATGCTGGGATAACAGCATATTGGTATAGGCATGGTATACATTTTTTTTTTTGAACAGTCAAAGTTTTTAATAACACTTTTTATTTAATACAATTATATTGTCCTCATTTTCCATACCAGTAAATGAAAACACAGTAAACACCATAGTGGCTACAAACACTCCATTGAATGCATGTACCACAAGGTTACTTAACCATTATTCTTCTAGAAAATGAATGTGTTTCTATTTTTTTTTTTAAATAATAGCACAATGATGATCTTATAACATGAATGATGAGGCTCCCTCCCCTACCTAAATTTTAGATTTCACATAATTTTTAAGCATTGTTTTAAAAAGTAGTTATGGTAGCAATACCTACTTGGCAAAATTAGCCAGGTTCTGAATGACCTTGGCAATAAGAGTTAGGGTCCGGGAGGTGCGGTCATCAGGATATTCCTGCATGAGGTTGAAAAGACTAGGAGACATAATGGCTGGGCACAAAAAACGCAGAAACAGTGAGGCACTGATGAGCCTCTCACTGATGTCTTGCTTGCCGCGGTTCAGGCACTGCTGCTTCCATGAAGCGAACACTTCTTTCAATTCACGAGGGAAAACACTAGGGAATGAGATAAGATCAAAACCTCTACCATAACCTAAGAAAGCACAAGGGATTCCCCCATCCTGGTTGACACATCTCTGCTTTAGAGCCAGGTTATGGGGAGTGGAGAATGCTCTGATTTCACTGCTGAGAGGTGGTGGAAAATTCACAGAAGCCCAGAAGGCGACTGGATACCCAAAGTCACAAAATACAGGGATTAGCTAAATTTAGTTTTGCAAAGTGGGAGAATGGCATTAAACTTCTGAATAAACCATCTGGGTTAACATAATCTCTCTAAAGATTGTTCACCAAAAATCTTCCAAATCTTAACCGATAGCTGTGGTAGGAAAATAATCAAAAATCGCTAATGTAACTTTTTAACACTAGTAAGCATTTTCAAAAGCCATTCAAATACTTTTGTGTTACAGAAAATGGTGCTAATATTTTGGGAAACATTACATTTATGATTATAGTCAGCTCAGGGGAATTTCTGCTTAGGATGGAGATTTAGATTTGAGACAAAACTAAAGTAGGGAAACTCTCATCCCCTCCCCACCCCACCTCTAAGCTTTTTCTTTGGTTAAGAAATAACTTAACATTGTGATGACTATGGCTTAAATTCCATAAGCAGGGGATGAAGCACTGATATCAGCTAACCAGTAAGAGTTGATGATCTTGCAGAAAGCCAGCTCACAGCACATTTTCAGGTTGCTCTGATGGTCTATCAGTTCACTAGATGAGCATTTGCTGGGATCCACTTCACAGTTCTCATCTGACTCATACAAAGCTTTGATGAACTCCCCTAGTTGAAAGAGAAGATAGACAGTATAACTGTAAATAGTGTCTTCCTGAAAAGAATAGGAGGATTAGAATTTCTGTCCAAAAATATATAATGGGGAATTATTTTCTGAGACCTGACAGGAAGGGCACAAAAGCTTGCCCATGATGGATTATTGCTTTGTACTTAAGAGCTACATCATCTCATATGCTTATTTTTTCTTATCCTAGAAGTGGGAAAACAGTGATCACTATCATCACCACCACAGTATTTATTTTAAAAAGTGATACTATCTTAAATGATGGTATAACTTTAAATCTTTTTCTGAAACCACAAATACAGTTCACAGGAACTGGATACTTTTTACAAGGTCCCTCTATCAAGGAGAATAATATCATTTTGAATAAATAATCCAAGTATGATGGAGTAGTCTACTGAAGGTTTTAAATGCCAATGCTGGTGCTAAATATGGGCAAAATTATTGAACATATCACAAAGCTGTAGCAGAACATCTTTATATAATTTGTATATATTATTTCCAGGTAAAATTAGCTTAGAAGCTCTGTTCATATATACTATCCTCTATGAATGTATGTTCAATATTCCCTGAAAGAACAAATCCTTCCTATCACCTTCCACTATATTGAGTTACAGATGTTCTACCCTTTCACAAACTTATTCCTATTTTATCACAGTGTTTATCTCCTTTCTAGGATGACTATTCCTAAAGAATAGACACTACTGTCTATTCTTTTTGAATAAAACCCCTACCCTCCCTCAAATAGCTCCCAAAGCATTGCAGGTGCTTAATATGGTAATGTGTTTTTGAGTTTTATAGGTGTTTGAGAAAGGAGATCTCTCAATGATCTTTCAAATCTGCTTAAATTACTAAAGTTTCAGGCTGATTATACATTTTATAAAAATAAACAATAATTTCTGCAAAATTAAGTATCAGTAGAAGTATGAAAAGCACTTTCTATCAAAATATCCCTAGTACTGAAGTAAATTAAAGCTTTCAAAAACAGCTCTGCCAGAGAAGGAGAAACAAATGTTGGGAAGAAAACTGCTTGTAGAACAGGAAAGGAATGTGGTGTACAGGAAAAGTAAAGGCTTTGGGCTGAGAAAGATCTAGGATTAACTGTTGGAAGCATCACTTAGCTGATTGTGGGGTGCTGGAAAGTACTGAACAAGTCCAAGCTTTTGCTATCTTATTGTAACTCCTATCAAATGGTGCTATAGTGAGGATCAGAAATAATGATACCGCATGAACAGAGAAGTATCTAACAGTGCATGGCGGAAGCTTCATAGAGCATGTATAGTTATGAACAAAAAAAAACTATTTTAAAATGACTTATCCTAAGGTGATATGACCAAAACTAGTAAAAGACTTTTAAAAATGTTTACCACTTCTCAGAAGGTTTGCAGCTGTCCTGTTCACAAAGAACTCTATGTGCTTCCATTCAATCTATCTTATTTTAAAAGAACACCTAAAATTAAAATCTGAGTCATTAGTGCCATATATGCCATGTAAAAATTGGCCTAACTTTAAATTTATATCATAAATAATGTGTTCAGTTAGTTCCATAATGTTATATACATATTCCAAGGAGGCATATTAATAGGAAAATATACTAGGGAACATAGAAAATATATTAATAAATAGCCCAGGAATTTTAAGAATATTTTCCTTTTATTCTTTTGAAGAAAGGTCAGATAACTCAGGAGCTCAGAAGTAAATGAATTATCTGACGTGGCAGCATAAAAAATATTTAAAAAAATTTGATTATGATAGATTTAAAGCCCTTTAAGATAATAAAAATGATTTTCATTGCTCTAAATAGAACCTATGTCCAGAAATAAAATATGCCATATTGAAGGTATATAAATAGAAGCTACTTATCTGATAAAAAATTATTGAGGCAGTTTCAACAGTCTATCTACATTTGCTCTCTTGCCTTTGAAGGGGAAAATAAAAAATCAGAGCCAAAGGGCATAGGTGTTTACTTTGTTGTTAAATATGAGTTTGGTCTACTATGTGTTTTCTGTATAAATAATCAACTATTATCTAGCAGCCAAATGTCATGTGTAGAAATAAGTCCATAAGTTATGAGTATTTGCTTCCACCACCAAGAATGGACAGCAGGTCTCCTCAGGAACTCCTTTTCTTTATTTCACAGATGGTGTTCTGTGTGTCATGGACAACATGCCATCTGATTTCAATCACAACGGTAAAAGAGGCTAACAGATGGAAGGTTTAAGTCTAACTGAGGTAGTCTATGTAGTAACATTACTGCTTTTAATTAAGATAAATGGAGATTGGCTAAAAAAACAGGTAGATATTTGTACAATGTGAATGGCAATTTTTAACTCAATTTTCTTTGGAATTCCTTAGGCTGCCTGGGAATAACTTTTTGTTTTCTTATAGTGTATATACTATAACAAGTGCTCAGTTGTACTTACTAATTTAGTTTTTTTACTTCCAGAAACTTCCCTGTGAAACTTTTTAATGTAATATGTATCATGAAATCTCCCTCAATTTTGTCAATAGAGGCTCTGGCCACAGCAAGGCCAGCATCATTATGATGAAAATAATAGACTCTTTGTCAGATAATTAAAATATTGTAATTTGCTAGGGTTGCTATTTGAAAAATCACTTATTCTCTTGAAACAAGTCTGAATTTTTACTGGCTCCAACATTGTTTCCAAAATAGAACTGCTATAAAGGTGAAATACAGGACAAAAACCAGTCACTAGGTATTGGGATGAAAGGCTAATAAGAAATGTATTGAGTGGAAGAACCTGGTAGAATGTCTGTTTTAAAGAAGCTTGTTTATTTGTTTATACTCTTGGAAGTAGTAGTTATTTCACCATGTGGCCCTTGCTCTTGGATTATGAATATAAAAGTGATATTTGTAGGTTATGTGAATTTCTTCTATGTTCATTGAATTAATTTTCATGTCTCATTGAGCCAATCTGCTATTAAATATTCACTGTCCTATTTGAAGGACATGTATGTACTTCTCACTTTGGAAATTATTTTACTAGGAAATCTTTTTTAGCACATTGAATGGTACAATGTGAATATCTGATTTTTAAAAAGTAGGTGGTCAACAGATAGTCACTTCTATGTTTACCTAATGGAGAGACAATTTTGTCTGTCTGAGATACTTTATCATGGCTTCTCAAAGGTAATACATATCATTAAAGAAAACCATGATATATAATTTATGATATGACTGTAATAGGGTCCTTTTTAAAATAAATTTTTATTGAGGCTGTAGTAATTTTATGTAAGTGAATCTATGAATCTTGCTGTTCCTTTTCTGTTAGTGAAAATTCATTTTCACTATTCTCATAAATTTCCATTAGATTTTAAACTGAAGATCTAAATATAACTTAGAGAAAGAAACCAAAATAAAAAAAGATAGGAAACAGAAGGAACAAATTTAGCCCTCCAGGGTAGGATCTAACTGCTACAATAGTGAGTACCAATTATTAATTCCATGTATACAGTGTCTTTCTTAAACAGTTACTCATGTTTTATTCCATACAACCTGGTCTCTGTCCTCTTAGTATCAGTCCCAGCCATCACTAGTGATCTTTAAATTGCCAAATGCAAGTCATTTTTTTTCTTTTTAATCTTTACCTCCCTCAATTTCTGACTCCACGGATTCTTTCTTTTCTTTTGGTGTCTTGACCTCAGTATTTTTCTGGTTTTCTATCTTTCTTCCCCCACCCCTCACCATGTGTACATGTGAATTTCTCTGATTCTCCTTTCTATACTATAAACTCAGCTATTAAGATCTGTCTTTAGTCTTATTCTCTTCCTGCTCTGGTAATCTCATAGCTTCATTTATCCCTTTCACATGTGTCCTAAATTTCTAAGAACCAGCCAGACAGATGTTTTAGGAGTTTATAACAAAGCTAGAATTTCTTACTAGAAGTTCAAATTGAATACATGTGAAATGGAAATATCATTTTCCATTTTACAAGTCTATTACTTTTATGTTTTCTATTTCTGTTAATAATCTCATCATTTTTAGCCACTTACAAATGCCCAGAACTCACTGTGGCATCTGATCTCCTCCCACCCAGCCCTCACAAACTGAAAAGCTGACAAATCCTATCAGTTAAACTTCTTTAAGATTTATCCCATCTACCTTTTCTCTGCTCTTATTATTCTTATGGATTACTTAATTCAGAATCTCATTATTTCTTGCCTTCCTTATTACAATGGCTTTTTAACTAGTTTTTTTTCTGCTTTCAGTTGCTTTCACTACTAATTCACTTTAATTTTCATTTCATTCACTTTAAATTTCATTTTCATAAACTGACTCTATTGAAAGCAACCTGCTCAAAACTTTCAGTGGCTTGCCATGATTACTGTACCCCAAAATCCTCAGCTAGACAGATTCTAATGGGTTTTGACTTTTTTTTATTGTTGTTGACTTGCCTTTTTCTCTTGACCAATTTCTGTTTTACATAACTTTTCCTTTCTTCAAACTATACACACCATAAGTGTATTTCACAGGAGATACCTTATAATTCCATCAGCTTGATATAATTTCTTTATTATTGGAAAAAAAAAACAAGCTCTATTCTTTTGGTATAGGGATATCCTTATCTTTCCAGCTCCTTAAGGGAAAACACTCCATTCCTTCAACACACTTCACTCTTGATAGTCACATGTGATTGACTACTGAGCCTGTGAAAGGTAGCTAGTACCAATTTAAATGCATTACAAAATACAAAATATACACTGAATTTCAAAGAGTTTGCATTAAAAAAGTAAAAACCCTCAATAATTTTCATATTGATTTCTGTTAAATAATAGTTGACTACTAGAAAATTTAAATTACATGTAACTGCATTCTATTTCTATAAGATAGTGCTGCTCTAGATTCTTTAAGTATGGGGGTGATGAGAATAAAAGACTATTTTCTTCAAGGAAATAATATGTATTTTACCATGAAGTGCACAAAACTACTTGGTTAATGCCTGGATTTCATGACCAAGTTGGAACTGCAAATGAGTGGCCTCATGAGTAAGAATTATTGACTGGATAGAAATGGGATGTATGATTATGTTAACATTCTGGAGACTTAGGTGTTACATATTTTATCAAGCTATACATGCCTAATATTTTGGGGGAAACAGATCACTCTCAGTTGTGATAACCACAAATATTATAGTGTATTGCTGGATCAGGAACATGGGTATCTGGGATTAGTTGGGTGTACTGATGGGTTTTCTCTCATCTGTACATGTTTTAATAAATGACTCTGCTGATCCCACAGAGACTTCTAGCTGCTAAAACCCAAACACTGTAGTCAGGTAGAACTAAAGAACATGCAGAATTTGATCTTGATTTGTATGTCTCATGAGGGTGAAATAACTTAAATTCAATAGGGGAAGAAAATGAAACAAATATTTTTCTCCTCCATACCCAATGCATCGTGAAGATACTGCTGCCCCACTAACTTGAGGTATTCCTCAATGGATTTGGTGGCAATGGTGTTCTCTCTGAAGATCAAGACATCATGCTCTCCACAACGATCCACCTCAGACATCACCAAGTCGGTCAGAAAATCCTGGTAGAATAATGTTCAATCAGGCAGAAAGCAACTGAATAAATAATGTACGTTATAAGAGTTTGTGAAATAGCAGAGATCTTGGGAATGCTGTTTTAAAACTATAGCTTCCAGATTCATTTGAGAGAAAAAAAGCCAGTAAAGCTAAAATCTTAGGCATCACTACCCCTAAATTTGAAATTCCTTCAAAAAATTTAACTGTGCTTTTGATAAACACCATAACTCTGAATGCAGTCTTACAAATCTCTGTATTTTATGGTTGTTATCTACTTGCCCAGCCTCATCTTGTATCATTCTTTGTGGAGTCTACTCAGACTCAGGACTTTCTTTTGAGGTTCTTGAAATTTACTAAGGACTCTAACCCACTGTGTAGTCTATTCTGTACAAAGCTGGTACACAAGCTGTTCTTATTTCCACTTTACTCTCACCACTGCTTCTTGGTCCTACTGTCATGGATTAATTTCTCAGATCCTTTGGATTTTAGTTTACATATCATTTCCTCAGAAAAGGAGGAACTCAGTTAGTCAGGTTTCTTTAATACACACTCTTGTAGTGCCATTCACCTTATTTATTCTCTGTGTATCTCACTGTAATAACACAGTGATTTTTTCCTGTAGTTATTTGATTGATAGCTGTTTTCCCCAGAAGACAATTAAGTCCTATGAGGCCAAAGACTGTCTACTTATGTTCTCTATATTTTCAGGACTTAACAGTTTCTGTTGTGGGTTAGGCATTCAAGGTGGTTGACAGTATCAATGTGGGTTTTTAAAAATTCAACACTGAACACATTTTTAGGCTGTCCATGTACATAACTGCATATATATGTATGTATGTCCCTCTGCCCATTCATCTATCCATCCATCTATGGAAGGGGGAATGCATAAGGAAATAAAGCTCTTAGTGAACAGTCCTAAGGAAATTGATGTTGCTTTATTTCTTAACAGTCCTAAGGAAACTGATGTAAAATTTGATGATTGAAAATGCGATAACATATTTTGAATGTGGTGCATTTAGTGGCTATTTCAAAGTCTTTAACACCAAAAGCAGAGGGAATATACTGATATATTTTTACTTTAAAATCATGTATTTTATTCATTAATTGGGTTATTCTGGGGTAGCTCAATGGTGTAAGAGTTGTAGACTTAGAAATCATTATTCAGGGCCCTTTCTCGTGGCACAAGGGGTTAAAGGACAGCATTACAAAGCTATCCACAACCACTACAGCACAAGTTCAATCCCCAGCCAGGGAGGTGACCCACATGGCACAGCAGACATCTCCTGTCTTGTCCGCTGCTCCCTTCAGCAGTGTACTTCATAGTCTGCCTGTTCTGCTCCCCACTGTGTCTCTGGTGAATTCTCTTACTGCCCCTGTACCTCTGGCCTGTATCCTAGTTCATTATGAATAAATAATAAATCTTAAAAAAAAAAAAAAGAGCTACTCAAGTTCTTATGCTAAGGGACTGGAAGAAACTTTGGAGGTGATGTACCTTGATTGTCATGGTGATTTTAATGGGTGCTTACTCTGTCAAAACTCACTGAATTTCTTATTTTATTAAATAGGTGTACTTTTTTTTTAATGCAAATTGCATCTCAATAAAGTTGTTTAAAAAATACTACATATATCCTTATCCTAGAGCAACTGAAGAGTAGAAAGGATATACCCGTATAATTTTAAAAGTAAGTCTAAATTTCAATGATATCTAGTCTCATATTTACAAACTTGAAGTTTACAATCAACCACAAAATGATAATCATTAGGAAAACAGTTAGGCAAGGTACTAAATGTTGAATGTATTGAAGTATTCTGATTTGCATCATGAAGTCCTGAATTTTTATTGTCTTGTTCTAAATAAATTATTTTAGTTGTGAACATCTCTAGATTTAACATGCAATATTGCCAAAATACTGCCAAGACCAATTTCCATATAACATAATGGACATACATTCTAGTGAAATGAATATGTCTCACAGAGGTGGTAATTACTAAATTCAGGATAATCAAAGACTCTTATCAACTGGTTCTTTATACAATTAGTATAAGTCTTCTTTCACCTTCCTACTTTTACTTTTGTACAGGATGAAATGAGATAAGGCTATCATGAAATATCTCCTAATTATTTAATACCCCACAGTATTTTTATTCCAAATCAGAATTTCAGTCTCATGAAGACTTGTTTATGCCCAGAATATTTCTGGAATACTTCCTTCTATGACTAGGGAAGAGTCATCAATTTATCTAAACAAAATAATAATAAGGTGTAAAATCATTATGCAACATACTCCAAAACTAAAGGTAAATCTTGTTGATCACACTACAGTATTAGCCTGCCAACTTTCCCATCTATTTTGACAGACAATAAAGAGCTAGCTATGGTATCGAAGTTTCACGCAAATGAACTTAACAATTATTTTTTGTCTTTTCATTTAACTTCTTTAGTTTTATAATTCTCATCTTTTCTAGATCTAAGAACTGCTAATTGGTTTCCTTCTTAAAATTTTTGGACTAACAGCAAAGCATTTTTCTCTAGTTTGGAGCTCTATAGTATCTACAGGCTTGTTTTGTCATGAAAGGTAGAGGAGAGATTTTAGGTAATGGAATCCTTCCTTTCCCACTTACCTTAGCTCTGCCAGTACTTTGAAGAATGTGCACTAAGGCACAAGCTAACTCCTCTTTATTTCTCACACTAATTACTGGTTCCAGGACAGAACATAGCATGGTGTAGTTGCTGGTGACAAATTCTGCAAATTCTTTGTATTGCTCCATAGGCAGAATGGTGATAGTTTGGAAACGTGACTTAATACGAATAGAAGGTCCTCCAGTCTTTCCTTTGTTGGGCGTAGGTGTACTCACTGGATACCACTTTTCTACAAATTGGCGGCCAGTCACACTGGCAGTGGGGATGTTGACTAAACCTACATAATTATTCTTGTCCTTTTTTTTCTTTTTTTCCACATCTTTGTAAATGTGAACTGTGATACTATGAAGATGGGGAAGGCTGTAGAATTCAAAATGTTCACCCCAAAAAATATTGTCTGCTTTGGTCTTGCTGGTTGTACGAGCAAAGAGGGTATCATCAAGGCACAGTTCGCAGAAATATTTCTTTTTAGGGGCAAGGTCCTTGGCTTCAATGATCCACAAGCGGAGAACATTTTCAGCTCGTCTGCAATTGTCCTATAAAGCAAGAAAGTTGAGTTTGAGAATGAAATCCCAGAAAGAGAATGTACATGATGCTAAGTGCAGAATGTAGTGAGGGTAGTTCATAAATGATGAAAAGGATTCATCGTTTGGCTAAGTAGAAAGCTGTAATCAAGAATGTATCGGAATCTTAGAAAGCCTATTTTAATTGTGTTAAATCTAGAGAATTTAGTTCAATTAGATGAAGAAATCCTGTAATGTAAATTCTCACATAGCCAACTTAGAGGTAACTGAATTGTAGTATCAGCAAATAAAATAGATGTAGGGTGTTAAGAAATTTGTGTTTCAGTCCCATTTTTCTTATGTATTAGCTGCAGACTTGACAAGTTACTTAACTTTCCTGACTCTTCTTATACGCATCAGTAAAATGATAATATCTGATATAAGATTATTTTGAACATAAAAAAGCATAACATCTGAATGCATTTTTAAAGGTTCTATAATTATCATTGCACTTATTTTCTATCAACTTATTGCTTAGAAGTAAACATTTTTTTTTGGACACTCAAAGTCATTATTACCTTATTTGGCTGAACTGTCCTTCGAAGGTTTTCCATCCACTTATCTCTCTCTGAAGCAGAGTTACAGCTGAAGCATTTACTTCCACTTAAGTAAGTAACCTTCAGAGTAAAGAATAAGTATAAGAAAAAGGAGACATAGGACTTGGGGACTCCATCTTCCTAGTTCTATCTTTAAGAGTTAGGGATATGTTATGAATCCAAACCATACTACAAAAAACCAAAAATGATCTTCTTTATTTATGATATTTAGATTTACGTTTTCTTCTACTTTTTGCTTGTATTCTAGTTAGCATCCATATTCATCACCTGTTCTATGAACAAAGGCCACTGAGAATTCTGCTCAGGAACCTAAAACTGGTCTACTATGCAGAAAGACCAAAATTAAAAAGCTTTCAGACCATATCTCAAATTACCTGCAAGTGAATATACTCAATTCTGAGTCAATAAAAAATAAGTAAAAAGGGAAGAGAGTCTGTCTAACAGTTATCAAATATTTTGGAACTGTCTTCACTATACTAACATAAAAGGGTACTAAATGAAATTGAAAAGAATTATCAGTATTGCATTACTGTCGTTGGGATCTATTTTTCCTCCACTATGCAATCAGTCTGTTGCTTTCCAGTTTTTATTAAGCTAGCCTGACTAGTATTACCACTTGCTTAGCACCAAGCACTGGGCTTGGTATATACCTTTTGAACTGAGTTTTACAAATGCTAGAAAGTTCAAATAACTTTTATAAAATATAATGCCCAAAAATGATCTGCTCAAATTGCTAAAGCATGCCCACATATTAACTCAATCTCATTATAACCTATTGAATCAGATCAGATTACATTTTTGTCCAGCTGATGGTCATATAATTCATATTAGATTTTGAATACTTATTACTTCACCCTCCCCAAAAAGGAATATAAAAGGTTTATTGATAATTTTTGTTATAGGTTAAAATTATAATATCTGGGTTAAATAAAATTTAAAATTGTATTTAAAATAAATTTAAATAAGATATGGCTGCAGATCTTGAAATGTGAATATAGTTAGAGAAATTACAGTTTTGGTAAATTTACTCCAAGAATCATTAAAATTGGGGGCTAAAGGTTTTAAGAGAAATATTATAACACAGTAGAGTATCTTCATTAACACTGAAAAATTAGTGTAGTAATTTGGTAAATTATTGTTGTGACCTTTGCTGGCAATGTACTGTGAACCTACTTAGTCGAAAATAGACTAGATCAAAAGGAATGAGTAGTCATCATGTGAATCTTTAATGACCAGTAAGTTAGCTTAATAAATTTCCAAACTGTTTCCTATAAGTAGGTAACTTTCAGCAACTGAAAACCAGTTAAGATGACCAAATCATCAACACAAGAGTAATGAAATCACAAAATTACTGGGTAGAGAATCAACTGGTTTCACTACTCTTCTTTTTCTACACTTTTCAAAATCTTCACCTCAAAGCAGAAGTCTTGTCCCAGGATGCTACTATGGAGAGGTTTCACGGATACAGGCTCCCCTCTGCCAAGATCCAGACATTCCACTGCACTGCATGGGCTCAGCAAAGATTCATGGGAACGTGACTCTTTTAGTTTAGGCAGCCCACGAGACCTAAAATAGAAAAAGATACTTAAGGTAATGTAACTTTGAATAGTAAGGAAATGATGGTCTAATGCAGTATGTCAACAAATGTACAAATGCCTAAAGGAAAAATTAATGAGAAGCAAATGAATAGTTAATGGATACAATAACTTTGGTAACCATATTCTGTGGCATCTATAAACCATATTATACATATTTGTGTATGCATATGGATATTTTTTAAATGAAATACAAAACACGCTAATATTACAAGTCCCAAGGAATTTCAAGTTCTACTACAAGCATTGTTTATATTCTGTTTGTATCTTGGAGATGGAAAAAAAAGATGCTATTCAAGGAAGGTTATCATACACATTTAGTTTTTTTTTAAGCAAAGGTATTTACAATAGATACATTCTTCCTCTCCCTGTGCTCCTTATCCTCCAATAATATATCTTTATCCTCTTCATCACTGAAAGAACAGTATGGTTGAATCCTCATTATGTTTCTGCTGTGGCAAAATAAATACACACACACAAACACACACACACACAACCAAAGCTATACTCTTCAGTATGAGATCCTGCCTTCAGGTTTGCTTCCCACCTCAACATGAAGTTCTTCTCTGGCGCAGATTTTGTTCTATCCAGGCTTTACTGTATAAATAAAGAATAAAATGCCTCGAAGAAACCCCATCCTCAAAAGAAATGTTCAAATTCTCATTTAGAAGAACACATCTCTGGCAACACCATTTATATATCCTGGCTGACTTGGCTGCAACAAGGATGTTAGGATCACAAATCCCGTCATCGCAAGAGCCAGAACTTACTGCCTACCCTTGGAAGTGTGAACTACATCAAATAATATAAGACACATTATTCTTGAAGGCAGAACTGGATAGGCATGCAGTTTTTACTCAATAATCATAGTATTTATTGACTGAAACACCCAGAGTTAAATACACTTCAAGCAGAAATACCCTAGTACCAGGGATAAAAAGAAATGCCTTGTGTAAAGACATTTGTTTTTGTAAAACCTATTAAATAAGTAACTTAATTCATTTCCTTGAAATAACCATGTTAACATTAAAAGGAAATGAAATAGCTGATGTCAGAGTAGCTTTCAGCTGAATTACAAAGTAATGAAATATAGGGAACTGGCACTAAAGGCTGCTCTTTTCCTTCTGTTTCTATTCTATTATTGTTTAATCAAACTCCATACAGTATGGAACATCTTAAGGAACAAGGATTTTAGTCCATTCTTATTTTCATACACACAAAAAAACCAAAGATGGTTTAATGTGAAGACTGAAAGATGTGTTCTGATATTAGTCATCTTTTTAAAGAGAAAAAAACCAAGTTTTATATTCCCATTGATAATAAAAGTATGTACAAAAGGGACCTTATGTACAAAATGTACGTACAAAATGCCATCTTATGTCTTGTACATAAAAAATAACAATATAATTTATTTCCTTTTTTCATATTGGATGAGACAAGGACATGCTATATACGGTACACAGCACATCAACTATTAATAGCTAACTGCTAAGCATTTTTTTACTTTCATGTAATTACCATTAGCCCTTTCCCAATATGCTTCATAGGAAGTGCGGTTTAGGCAACAGGGTATCATAATCTTTCTTACACACATATAAAACAATTCCAGTCCATTTACCCCCCAGGAATTGCTAGGAGAGGAAAGGCTTCTCATTTTCTAGAGGTGAACCTCTCAGCAGGAAAGATGAAAGTACATTTAAAATAGGAGGTAATAGACCAGAGGCGTACTTTTACTTTTTAAAATTCTCCAGGAAAATATTCTAAAGAAAATAAATTTTATTCCAAACAAGGAAATGTCTACCTACATGAAGCAACTGTCCAGCCACCTGGCAGTGCAACCCCAGATCATAGTGGAGCCACATGTCGCGGTGCAGCAAGTCACTTCTGCACTACATCTCCGAAAACAACCAACGACCAATAGAAGATGGTTTCCCTGCCGCCTTCGGCTACTGATAACATCTTTGGGTAAATGCTTTCTGTAGTGATTTCAAATCTTCAATGGAGGCAGGATAGAAACAGCAACAATGGAACATGAAGTCATCTTCTCAACAAGCAGCAAGATAAGTAACACTCCTCTTTCTCTTCCTTCAGGTTGCATCCAGCACCTCAGGTAACACAAACAAGGTGTCTGAGCTCTAGGCTGGGCCTGTTGCCATGGTGCTACGCCTATAAGGAGATTAGAGCCAGAAGGCAGCAGGGAGAGGCTGTAGCGTGAAGGACTCAATGAGCATGCTTTGTAATCCTGACCATTTTAAGATAGAAAGGAAGGAATGGTGTGGCCCCTACCCATTTCATTAATAATATTTCAGAGTCAAGGGCTGTAGAAAAGAACCAAGGCAACTCTGGGAGCAGATGAGAATCTCTTAACTCAGGGACAAAACTGATATGACATGAAGCCCCCCACTCAAAGAAACTTGCTGCAGCTACCCTGCAAGTGTTACCTTTCTTATCTATTCTATTTCTTTACAGTGCTTAGCCTCATTTAATATTTCTAGGTATTATTTTGCATTAACATATCTGGGTTATACTTTTTATTTCCTTGTAGAGCAGTCAGATACATTTTTTTATATGTTGCTTTCCCAATGCTTAAGAGATTTCAATCTGAGACTCAGGTCTAATGCAGTCACTAAGCATTAAACTAAGCCATCTGTAACAAAAATTCAAAGCTCTAGTTTTTTTGAAATCTAGTCACAGAGATTTCAACCGTTAACATATAGTTGAAAATCTATTGTTCAGCATTTATGTAGGTACATGAGTGTACACACCTATGCCACACACACTTGTGAACTGAACACCCAGTCACTAATATGTTCAACAAAGAAGCAACTCTTTCTGTACTGGGAAGATGTGTCTCTGAGAAGACAGAAGTAATTCCCAGAGAAGCAGGATTACAGTAAACAGGAAGATCAAGCAGCCTGGGAATGGCTTGATGGGGGAGGCATTATCTTTGCAAATATGTCTATAACAACATTAGTAACTCTAAGTCTCTAAATCACATCTATCTCCTGCATTTTCGTAAGAGTTGATTTTTCTTAGATCTACTAACCAGAGTTTTAGTATGGCACTACAGTTTACTTCTCTAATGGGAAGTAGCCTGCGGATTACTAAGAGAATAATACCAGATTAAAACAACCTTCCCTATCCAACCTGACAGTGGCCTTCAACAAGAAACCTACCTAGTCCTGAAAATCCAGAAAGTCTCTTTCTGATGCTGTACACATTCCTCATTTCCTATCACCCCAGACACCATGTGACAACAATTCTGGGTTCTAATATGACTACTCTTGGTTTAATTGGAAAACTGCTTTCTAATTAAGTAAACTATCTTTTTTCACTGTTTTATTTAAGGTCAGCTGACAATTTTGATTCTGTAAAGCCTCTATGACCTCTAGCAATGTTGACAGGTAGGAATCAAAATCTAAAGCAATGTTGACAGGTAGGAATCAAAATCTAATTGCTTTGCTGATGAAGGTAACCTACTGCTTCTGACTTATTTAAAAGACAAACTAGAAGGTGAGAAGGGGTTTCTATTACTATAGTGAATGAGTGTTATACAACTTTAATACACATTTCTATCTGAACTCAGCCTTAAAAGACAAAAGTAAAAGGCTGGGGATGGGGAGTCAACCCACACACCACAGGGTACACTGAAGACAAAGAAAATAGGAGTTAAAGAACTCTGGTTAGTGTATTGTTAAGTAAAACACAGCAGGGATTTTTCTCAGCTTAACCATTCAACTTTTTAAAATTGTATTTTCCCCAAAGTAGCAAAGGTGCTCGAATGTATTAGCTCAATCTGCCAGATGTTTACAGATTCAAGTCCAAATTTGGGAAACGTTTAATTAAAAGTGCTTATTGCCACACAAACTCCTGTACTCCCTTGCAGGTGAATTTCTGCTTGATTTGGCAGGTAGGATTCCAGACTGTTAACTGAATTTCTGAAGAGGTAAGTTCAGCCATAAGTTGGGTGCAGCAACATACACTTTTATTCACTAATATGTATTCCTAACACCCTTTACTTTGTCTGAAAATTTCTCAGGTAATTATTAACACAATTCGGTATCCTACTACTCTACTAACAACTTTACACAGGACCTACTTTGCTTCTGATATATTGCTTTGGGGAAAATGTAAATTTACTTGCAAACTGGGTTTTATTTTTTACAACCAGGTATCTGTGAAAACACCCAGCACATATTTCCTGCATGAAAGAGTAGATCTTTTCCTGCATGTAAGAGTAGTTTTTTTAGTGAAGGCAAGGGTAAATAGATGGGATTACATCAAGTTAAAGAGCTGTACAGCAAAAGAGACAGTACAAAAAACAGACATCCCACTGACTGGGGAAAAAGTTTCTCACACAAAACTAGTGATAAAGGATTGATCACAAAGATATACACAGAACTGATGAAACTCAACAAAAATAAACAACCCTATCAAAAAATGGGCAGAAGAGCTAAAAAGACACTTCTCTAAAAAGGAAATGCAGATGGCCAACAAGGATCTGAAAAAGTGTTCAACATCACTTGTAATAAGGGAGATGAGATTAAAACCACAATGAGATACCACCTCACCCCA